AGATTTATGAATGGCGCAGGGCTTCCGAAAATAAGAGATTTTCAGCCACTAAATATTCCGAAGGTGGGTGGCTCATCTCGCTTTGGGAATGAAAATAATCCTGAAACTACATCTCTGAAGTTTCCATAACATCTTTTGTGCTGACAGACCCCCAAGGCCTTAAACAGTGAACAGGAACCATTTCACCCAACCCCAAGGCACCTCAGCTGGGGAACATGATGGCTGCTCCAATGGCACAAGGCTACCACAAAACCGGGTAGGACACGTAGTAGAGAGTAGTCTCAAAATGCAGCTATGAGAGAGAAATCTGGGTGGGCAGAACATAATTAGCCACATTAGAGTTCAACTAAGATCCAGGGGAAAATGGCTGAGGGGGACCTTTAGAACCCAGAGGTGGTTGGGCCTTTATTTTGTGTTGTCTCCTACAGCAACATGACCCCTAACTACATGGCAGGACACTGACTGGATTCAGTGCAGTCTACAAGATAATACCTAAGGACCACAATCACCACAACTTCCAGCATTAGCACTGCGGCAGCCACTTACCATATGACCAGTATAGTCCCACTGTTTCCTTGTGCCGTCTGTTGTATTCACCTATTGCCTCTGATATCAGATTGTCAATTCTTCCAGGAAAAGATAGTCTTTTTGTTCTGGATTTGTGCAGCACCTAGCACAAAGGAGCCGTGGTCAAGGATCAAGATGCTACTGCAAGAATTATAAGCAGTAACACCGTCGGCCAGTCCCCACCCTGGTCACCTTCCACACTCCAACATTGTACGGATGTTGTGACAGTCAAGTTGTGAACTTCTTTTAACATTCCAAGCTATAGAGCCCAGTAGAATAGTTCTAATTGGAAGAAACCACACACTATGTAATGTCGGTGATTTGCATCCGTGGCTGATCATTTCTCCATTTATCACATTGATGTGAAAAATTATTTTAACAATGCAAAAATGTCCTCTGTCTGTTACATTTACAGGTTTTTATTTCCCTGTGAATTAAAGAAACACTACAGACTTATTCAAGGAAAAAAAAACTTTATAGGCCTAGGATCCTTCTTTCACAGTACAACGCAACAGTAAAAGATTTAGTCAGTGCAAACAGAAGATGCAATAATGATCATCAACTATCACAAGCCAGCTACACAAACACCACAACTATTGAGGTTAATGCCATTACTGGACAATTCAACAATACTAGCAGAAATCAAAACTTGATCTACAATGCTTTTTCATGTGCAAAACTCAAGTCAATTCAATTTACATATGGGGAGATTCTCAAGAGCCAACATTTCTAAATCTTCATAAAAAACATTTTAATATTGTGCATCTGAGGCTGTTTTACATATTTGGCAAAAAATCTACAGGCCCAAATGCCAGGGTGCCAAGCATTCACCACTTCCTTTGGAGCGAGTGGAAACTGTAGGTTGTCAACACCACTGAAGATCAAGCCCTCCGTATACTCCACTACACCAGAATGAAGGAAATAGTTCACTGTTAGTGTGAGCTGTTTCTACTGGGTTATTCCTGAATCTCAGTTTTGACTGATTCACTCATTCCGTTTTTATTTTTAAAGCAGTCCTTATATTATGTTTAACCACAATATAATTCCTGGGCTATACACAAATATAATTACTAGAATATTTCTCACAGGTTTCTAAGATTAGAGAAGCCTAACTCCAAATCAAAGGATTGTCTAGAATTTAAGGTGTGACAATAGCACACATTAGCTAACTCCTTCTAAGTAACTTGTTTTAAAAACTGAGCACTGCCTAGAGTCGAACTTTACCAGTTCTACACATAAAGGCTGTGTGCAAACCCATTCTAACACCACACCTTTCGTCCTAGGCTAGACAAGGCTAGGGATTTTGCTGCTACTTCCAATATGGACCAGATGAGGCCCTAGCTGTGAGTATCATATCAGCACACTCAACTGCAAAGTGGTGAAGTAATATCTTTTATTGTTAGTGGGGGGAGGGGGGGGAAGCTTTTGAGCTACACAGAGCTCTTGAACCTGCATAATCTCAAAAGCTTCTCTCTTTCACCAAGAGAAGTTGGTCCAATCCTGGATATTCTCTCACCCACTGTGTCTCTCTCCTATGCCACACAGTCACAACAACACTGCAAACAATTGTCAGGAATTGTCTCTTAAGAACGCTTCCCAAAGTGGGGAGACAGACTTATGTTAGCTCACCACAAACAGCAGCATGGATGCAGTGGCACAAGCTAGTAGTATTGATAGGGTCAGGCAGAATCAGACTGGGATAAGTAGCTGAAGCCATCACTGCCACACTGCTATTTTAAGCGTGCTATTTGAGCAGAGCTAGCACATCCAGAGGGGTGAGGGGGCGAAGGCACCCCTTTATGGTCCCCTAAGTAAGCTTGCTCCGGCCAGCCAGGGGAAGGCAGAAGCAGCGCACTGCCCGAGATTCCCCGCCCCCCCATGCTCTGGCTGTCCAGGATAAGGCTGGGGCTGATTTCCCTGCTTACTTGGGGGACCAGAAGGAGTGCAATCACACCCTTGCAGCCCACATTTACAAAAAAAACCCCACCCTTCCACAGAAATTCCTGCATACGGGCCTGATACCTGTCTATCTGCATTGGGAAGCAGCCTTGCAGTCGCTCTGTGTGTGTGTACTCTGATAGGAATACTATGCAGTAGGGTTCTGACTGGGAATTTCTCCACTGAAACTATGAAGTAGACAAAGCTGGAGTGTACAGTGCTCTGACAGTAATGGATCTTCCCAGGGAGAGACTGGGAAGCAATTTCAAGTTGCTCTGAGTATCTAGTACCTAAAGAAATCAGATGATGCGCTCTTATCAGAGGCATATCTGAACAACAGCTCTGTTTTCCACATTCTATGGTATTGACATGGATCTTGGTAAATTGAATTCACGGTCACCAGCTTACAGAGGAAAAACCAAGAGGTAGTTATTTAATCTACCTCTTTTTAAAAAGGCAAAATAAACAAGTATTTGATGGATAATGGCGCAGCAACCAAAAATCAACACAGTAACCTTTTTTGTTTTAAACATATGAAGTTAAGATACAGACACATTATATAAAATGCACACTGCATGGAAATCCTGCATAGCAGGAAACAAACTGGCTAGCACTAAACAAATGGCTATGTTAACAGCAAAAACTGTCATTTACTGGGTGCAATGAAGATTCTTATTTCCTAAAATATAATTGCAGAATGTACAGTTGTGGAGCGGTCCTATAGAAAAACCTAGACATTTTTCTTGAAAAGGAAAAGAAACATTTCTCAGGGATGTTTTAACTGCAAAAAATCAACTCTACTGCAGTAATTTTAAGGCAATGTTATTTAGACCTGAGAAAATGAAAAAGGTCATTTTTTTCCTGAACTATAAATATACAGTCAAAGTCTAAATATTTCCTTTTTTCTCCTCCCCTTTGCATGAATGATCCCTCTCCACAATCGTGGCGGGTAAGCATCCAGAAATGCAGTGAGGTCTCAAGTCCTGATGTGAGAGGCACAGAGGACTCTCAATTCCAAACAAAGTGAGTGGGAGTTGTGAGTCCTCAGAAAATTCTTAGGATCAGGTCCAACACTACCTTGAGGAAGTGTGCTCTTGGTTTAACAGAATGAATGCTAACTCTGAAATCAGCCTTGTGTGTATTTGTGACTGTGATAGGACTAGTTGATTGTATGGTTAAAAATAAATTAAAATTATATGCGGTAAATTCTAGGCTGCAATTTTTTTCTTGGGGAAAAGCAAGAAATAAAAGTTCTGAGCTTCTTAAATTTCCATTGCACCTTTAGCCATTCCCCTCATTGCAGAATAAATCCTAGTGCACTAATGTAAAATAGCAAATTGTTCTGTGCTCTTCTTGGAAAAATGTAAAAACATGGCAGCTCACAAACATTTATTATAAACAGTAAAAGACATGAAAATGAATTAGGGAAGAGATTATATTAACTCCTTAGCATGCAGTGTATCAAAACAAAGTGCAACAATTTCAACTAGACAGGAGGACGGACGACTCCCTTTCAGTACCACCTTATTTTCTAAATACTTCTTAAGACATCTGCCTGTAAAGTTTCAATCTATAATCTTTGCACTTCCTGTTTGGATAGGTGTGAGTCTGTGGTATAGCATGCAACTGCAGCAGACTTGTGCATTTATTTAGCTTCTTCAATGACTAATTAGTTAAAAGAGCTTCAATCACATGAGACATGGCCCCTTCCCAAAATTCAGAACTCAAATCACCTGTTAAAAATGTGTTTCCCCCTAGAAAAACTGTGTATAACACACCTGAAATGCAAACTCATCAACTACAAAGCCTGTGCAAGAATCCCAATGCAGCTTGTATGCGATCAATTCTTTTCCTCAAATATTACTGCAAAAACACAAACTTTGAAGCTCTGGGATCTGGTATGAAAAGTGACCATCATGGGCTGGAGGAGGGCTCGGTACAACTTCTGCTGAGGTCTGTCATTATCTCTCTAAGCAGTGGCTTAGTAGCGTGGCTGAGTCACTTCAGAGCAAAATGCTTTCTTTCCTTCCTAGGGGCTATACACATGCTGTGCTAACAACGTCTTACCGATTGTACTGGCTTGGATAAATAAGGACACCAGCTCAGAGACAAATATAGCAGTGCAGAGTATAGCTGGCTACTGAACCATCAGGCCAATGTTTGGGCAAAGAGTTTGCCAGTACTATAATACGAGTATTTGATAATCAGAGATATGAGAGACCAAAACAGTTGTCATGTGACTAATAAACAATTTACATCTTTAGCTGACACCTTCCCAACAACTCTAAGTGGGGCAAAGCAAATGCAACATTTTGTTTGTCATTCCTGTCTATGACAAGTTGAATTCTGAATGCTTGGGAACTAAGGCCATACATCACACCAGTTGAAAAGAAGTCCACCATGTGCAAAAGATTATTATAAACCAGTTTCTTTCTACACAGTGCAGTCAATATGGTTTTCAACTTAAGAAACTGCAGCTTGATCTTCACAAGCCATCTTGTAGAGAATATTTATATTCTTCTGACACCATATAAATATTTATACAGCTTAGACATTCTGAGACATGCATTAGATTTTAGGTAGTACATATTTCTTCGTGATCACATATGCAGATATTGTCAATTAAATCGAGCAACATAAATCTTACGCTGGGCCATGTCTTGCACTATCTACCAAACTTGATGGAGGCTCAGAATCATCCATGGGAAGGACCAGACGTGTTCCCCGTATTACAAGTTCATGGTCTCCAAACGCCAGCTCCCGATCCAGTGCATCTTCCGAACTGTTTCCCACAATCCTGCGAGATGTCCCCCCAGATGTGACAGAATCGGCATTCACAGTAGAATCTCCGTATGTCAGACTGATGTCTCCATCGTTCAAAATAAGGTCGGAATCATCATCCTTCAGCTGCTCTTGATTCTGAACAAACAAAATCAAGAATGTATTTGCTTACCAGTTTCTTATATGTACCAAAGTCTGAGAAGAACGCAACAACCGACTAGAGGCAGTAGCCAGTGATGGACTCTCCTTCACACCTCTGACTACTAAGACTTCCTTTAATCCAAAGACATAGGCAGAAGATATTAGCTTATCTGAGTGAGGACAAAAAAGGATTTTGTGTAAATATTTCTGAGCCATCTCACTTCTCACTGAATTCTTACTATAGGTTGAACCTCTCTAGTCCAGGACCCACCAGTGCCAAAGCACAGAATTTCATGGACCATGGGGAGATCGATACTGTCTGGCAGTTTTACCAACACTTCTACTGCTTACTGGGCTTTTAGAAGACATTTAAGAGTAAATTAGAGGTAAACAACAGCACAGGACACAGAGCCAGGACTGGTGGCTGAAAACATACTTTATGGGACTATGAGAAACTTGGCCACAGCCATGATAAGTGGACATCCAGCTAACTAAAATCATGCTGGACCATGGATGTTGCCGGATCTGAGTGCTGTACTAGAGAGGTTCAACCTGTATGGACAAAGTCTATCATAAGACATTATCACGTATGACAGTTCACAAGTGATCAGATGCATTGTGGGTACTAAGAACTACTGGAGTCAGGATTCTACAAACAGTTTTACTCCAACCGGTAGTTTTCTGGTTTCTAATTAAATCCAACCACTGTGGTGTCACCATCACTACGTAGTATGGAAGAGACAGCCACCTCCGAGGCCACTGTCACTTTGTGACCAATTATTTTCAGCTGTGAAGGCGAAATAAACATGGGAGGTACCTCACCAGCCAGGATAAGCATCTCACTTTCCATACATCTCCCAGAATCAGCTGTTTTACAGAGCAGCTGTCCCAAGACAATTCCTGACAGTGACTCGTGTTGGCAACATGCTTTTGAATTGACCATGCTGGTGAATAAATACATCTATTATATTCTATAACTTCAGATAACACATGACCTCCCCCACCCCCAAAAAAAACCATAGACTTCTCAGTGTACCTCCTTCAGAAACTGGATAGAAAGATAAATACATCTGATTCAGACAACACTGGGATAGGAAGAGCACATCTGTCAGAGTAGTAATAGACTTACTTCATAAGCCTGAGGACTTGTCAAGCATCTGGCAACAGGTCCGCAGCATGTAGGCAGTGTCGTCGTGAGAGGAGGGCCACTGTGCGTCAACAGAGGCTTCAGATAGCTGTGGGGTGTGTTAAGGCAGAGACCGAGTATGGCTGCATTTATAAAATGCACAATGCCGTGCGGGCAGAAAAACTAAGCAGAGACAGTAAAACATTTAAACATTTTGATTTTTGTCGATAGAAAAATGAGAGGGGGGTCAAAGCAGTGCCATGCTGAGAACAAAGCAACAAGCATCAGAATCAAGAAGTCAATCATGTCTATGCCAGACCCGTTGCAGGCGTACACCACCCTGTGTAGCTGCTGATTCTGCTATTTGCTGGGCACATCCCTTCTCACATGCTAGGCCAGTTCTTTGGCAAGCCCCTCTTGCAGACTGTCCCAGGTCACTTCATCTTCCATTTTATGTGTGTGTTTAAGGGCAAACAGCAACAGTTTTGGGTGGGATTTTCAAGAGTACCCAAGGCACTGTCTTCTCTACGAAAGCAGGGCTGTCCTTCACTCATGTTAGCTAGTGCATGGAGCTAACAAAAGGTAAAACAGTGAAGACGGGCTAGCCGTTTGCACACAGCTTAGCAGGCCAAGGTAAACTCTAGAGTGACTCTCCAAACATCTGACTTTCCATACGTCTCCCAGCAGCAGCTTCTTTCACACGACAGGTGTCCCCGAGATAATTCCTAACAGTGAATCATGTGTTGGCAACACACTGGTGATGGGAAGAAGCTGATGACTAAATACTCTTACTAGATTCTATAACTTCAGATAACAGATGAAAAATCCCCAAACAACGGGCTTAAAAAGTGTACAAGCTCCACACGCACACGGAACTTAAATAATTCCATATCATGAATATCCATATCCTCGGCATGCTAACTCACGTGCAAACTACGAACAGCTCTGTCTTCACTAGGCTTTCATCTCCAGCAAGTTCCCGTATATTCACTAATGCGAGGCAAGAACAGCTTTTTTTTCCTAACAAAGAAGCACACTGTGTGACTTAAGGAGCACAAGACCCAATGATTTTCAGTCCCACGGACCTTCAGGGGCATTTGTGCTCCCAAATTGCTTTGGAAAGTCCCATCATTGCATTAACAAAAGTATCGAAGAGACTAAAACCATGACCAGATTCCAAATCTAGGTCTGCATCCACATGCTTGGGCCCAGCTGTTTGCCTCTGCCCAGTACATGTGTTTCCTTCCTATGTTGCTAGTCAATAGTTCCCTCTCTCCTTCCCCACCCAGACGAAAAGCTGCAGCTGTTACTGGCATACACAGCACCGAGACCTGCTAATAATCAGAAAAACAAGCTCAATGTTGAAACCGTTTTGTCTGAGAGGCTTACAGCTAACTCTGTTAAGAAAAAAAAAAAAAAAAAAAAAAAAAAAAAAAAGCAGCTTTCTTTCCACCTCCTACACTAAAGCATGCAAAGCATTTTACAAGGACTACGCTAAAAAACAGCAACCTATTCCAAATATAATTTATAAAGGAAATCTAGCTATTTGGGACCATGCAAATGAAAGACATGAGGTAACATGACTGCAACCAAATGACTAGGGTTGCCAGGTGTCCGGATTTGAACCGGATAGTCCGGTATTTGAGGGTTCTGTGCGGGAAACCAATTGAGAAAATATTTTCTAATTAGGTAAGTTTTATAATTATTAGGAGTATTAGTACATAGTTGTGTACTGCCTGGCTGGTAGATACACACACACTGCATGAGTGTGTCTACCAGCCAGGCGGTACGCAACTACACGAGCAGGGAGTGGGGCCAGAGCGGGAGTGAATCCCCGGAGCCGGACACTCTCATGCTTCACTGGGACTGTGCGCGGGACAGTCAGTATCCCAGGATCTGTGTGCGCCCGGGTCAGTCCTGCTCCCCGCTGGCTGATTCTCTCCCCCCGCATCCACTACCCGGCCAGCCCCACTCTTCCCGATCAGCCCTGCTTCCCGCTAGCTGGTTCTCCCCTCCTCCTCCTCCCAACTTCCTCCAGCCAGCCCTGCTTCCCGCCGGCTGGTCCCCCCACCTGATCTCCCTCAGCCAGCCCCACTTCCCTCCGACATCCCCCCATCTCCCCTGACCAGCCCCACTGCCCCCCCCACCAGTGCTGCTTCCCGCCGGCCAGTTCCCCTCCCCCTCCTGGCCAGCCCTGCTCCCCTCCCGGCCGGTCCCCCCTCCTCCCCATCTGAGATCAATTGTGTCCAGTTTTTTTTTTTCAAACCACGTGGTAACCCTATAAATGACTGGGGAAATGAGTAATGAACATGCCAGAACACAGTCCCAGTTAAACCCCCATTTCTAAAAAGGGCAATACCACCACCACCATTTTTTCAGCAGACAGCCCCTTTCATAAGTGTGTGGCACATCATTTCACTATTAATTCCTTGTGGTGCACTAGGACAAACGAGACAGGCACAACACAAATATTTAAAACAGGATAGGAAAGGGCTATAAGAGCAAAGCATGTGCCTCTGAACATATTACTGCACTTCTGCCATGAAAACAACACACATGGAACTTAAATAATTCCATATTGTGAAACTTGTCATGTGTCTGACTTTGAGCAGAGCCATTCACATTCAAAATTGTGGTTGGTAAGAGTTGAATAAATTCTTACAGGTGCAGTCATTATAAGACGTAAAGAACAAGGAATAAGGGACATGCATGGCTAACTGGTAAACCTCACCCTTAATGTTTAACCAATTAACTAATTAAATGGGATTTTACATCCCTACAACGGACCAATTAATGTTGGCTACTCTGCTACCAGGGGACAAAGCATGCTCTGAGTTACACAGAGAAGTCAGGTTTGGCTCTTATTGCCAGTAAGGATACTTGTGATCAAAGTTGTACCACAATCTGAACAGCCAGGCACTTTCTGCTTTTGTACTCCTCCTTTCACTCTCCGGGACACCCTGCAACAGAGGGATAAGTTAAACGACAATTGGACAATGCAGTTCTCTTTCTCTAGGAACTGGATCAGCCTGAAAACCCATTGTTATGAGTTGTGTGTGTAAGGTGAGGAAGGGGGGAAAGGGGGTCTCTGGCTTTTTCATAGCATTCATTATCCTTGTGGTGCCGTCAGTGATTCCTTATATGGCAATAATTCTAGTGAAGTATTTCATCTGAATTTTCCTTTAACGCAGTTTACCAAGCAGAAATAAGATGGTGCGGCCTGTACCATGCAACCAGCCAAAAAGTCCCTGTATTAGAGGTGTTAGCACTGTTCCTCCTCAGAGCCCACTTCCTTCAAACACCTTCTAGCCCCCCTGCAAGAGTTTAAAATGGAATTATGCATCGGCCCCGCTGGGAACTCTTGTATATTTCAAAGCTGGCACGCCGCCTGCAGCCCAGGGCCAGTGGGAAGTCCCACTGACTCCGGGCTCTACACGGGCGCTTCTGCTTTAAAATGCACAGGAGCCATGGCGTTTCAAAGTGGCAGTGCCATATGGAGCCCATACCCTGGGCTCTGTGTGGTGCTGCCACTCTGAAGTCACCTCATTTCCTCCTCCTTTGCTGCCTCTATCTGGGAGCGGGGGGAGGAAGCGACTAGTCCTTAACGTCCTTAATCAATTGCAGTGTTTGCTACTCACGTGACAACATTTCTCAAAGAAGAGATTTTTATATGTAACAGATGCTTTACTTGGATTCACTGGTTTTGCCACTGAACACAAATCTATCAAACTCATCTAGTTTAGAAACGGATGGCTTCTGGCAATTAGATTTTATTTCTTCAATCAAATATTCCATAGAAGTTTGCCTGAGAGGCTTATTGGCCTGGGTTTCTCCTAACACAGGGGTGGGCAATTATTTTTGGTGAGGGGACACTCCAAGGTTTCGGTAAGTGGTCAAGGGCCACACTTGTCTGTGGAAGGGGTGCAGGGTCTAGGTTGGATGCTGGGTGCAGAAGGGCACATGGGTAAGGGACTGGGGTTCAGGAGACGGTGTGGAGTCTGAGAGGGTGTTTGGGTGGAGGAAGGCGGTTGTGACTTGGGTCAGGGGATTGGGGTGTAGGGTCAGGGAGTGTGGGTGCAGGAGAGGATTCTGGCCTGGGGGAGGGGTGTAGGACGTAGTTGTCACCTGGGGCAGGGAGTTCAGAGGGTTTGGATGGTGATGTGGGGGAGGGAGTTGGGATGCTGGAGAGGTTGGGGTGCCAGAGACAGGGGCTGGCTGGGAGGAGTTTACCTAAATGTCTCCTGGCCAGTAGGCTGCAGCACCCCCAAGGCAGATGCAGCCCCAGTACGCTTGAAAAAAACCAGGCTGCTCCCCCCACATGGCTCTCAGCTCCGCTGTCCCAGTCTCTCAGGTCAATCTCTCAGCTCCTATTGCCTGGCTGTTTCCTGAGCAATGAGAAATGGGCTGAGATCAGTTCTTATTGGCTGGTTGTTTCTGGCCAATAGGAGCTGAGGTTTGGGCTGGGGGTGGGGAGACTGCATGCAGCCTCCCCCTCCCTGCAGAACAGAGAAACGCAGGGACTAGTTTTAAACGGCAGCAGCTGCATGTGCCTGAGGATCCCGCACGAGGGTCCGCAGGCTGGATCTTGTGGCTTGGCAGGCCGGATCCGGCCCCTGGGGCATATTTTACTCAGCCTTGTCCTAACAGTAGCCTGGGGATCAGAGAGCAGAGTACCCCCTAGGGGGTTACGGCTGGGATCATCACAAGCCAAACTCCCATGATTTCAGGGAGAACTCCACATATGGAGCAGCTCGGGTCTGAAAGTGCAGGTGTCAATTCCACCAGGAGAACAGTTGTATGCCATTTTATCAGAGCACACTGTAACAACGCTTTGATTGGGCACTGCACAATGCTGTCTTAGAGCTTTAAGTATTTCCTGTTTTCTACAAAATAAACAAATGCAGTAAGGCAACAGAGGTGTGAACGAACAGCAGTGGGTGACAACCTGAGGGTTGAGAATAGCACTGTAGACACTAGGGAGGAGAGGGGGACTGCTGCAAAGTGTTATTTGGTGGGATGAAAAAGAGGGAGAGTTTAAATGTTATTAAAAATCAGATATCTCAGAAGCAAGAAAATTAGGGGTCTCGTTTTAAAATTCTGTCACACGCCATGTATATAGAGCAGGTCTTGAAATTAAAAATAAAACATGTCAAGGGTTTTTGGCTCCTATGCTTATGTTTAGAGAGGCTTTCTCCAGCCAGGGAGAAAGGGATTGTACCAGGGAACAGATGGAACTGACAATATACAGAGTGCTGTGATGCTTTTCCCACAGCCTTCTTTCAAATTTAAACAATGAGGAGTCCTGTGGCACCTTAAAGATTAACTGATTATCTGGGCATAAGCTTTTGTGGTAAAAACCACTTTGTCAGATGCACAGGGTTAGTCATCTGAGCCATGTCCCTCCTTTCACGTTTCCATTCAATGGCACTAACCCCTTCCCCTGCTACCTGAGGGCTGGAGTGGAAGAGAGAGAACAATCTGATGTATGTGTAAACCACTCGTGGTTCTATTTAACCTTCTGCCAACCGGGCACGTGGTGCAAGTCCCTACATAAAAGTTCATGGGAAAGATCAATACTTACCAAGTGTTCTTGATCCGAATCCACACCGACCCTGAGGAGGACACAAGGAAACGGTTAGCATGAGCACAAATAATGGGCATGACATATTTTTACAGGAGCTCTCTCTTAGGTTTAGATTCATAGCAGGGTAAGCTTATTCATCAGCTTTTCCTAACAGAAGGGTAGGGTCTGATTTGACTCCAGTCAAATGGGAGATGAGCTGACTCCTCTCCGTAATGGATAAACATTTATAGGCATCATGAGCATCAGAACTTCCTGTTTCCACACTTTGTTCAGTCACCGCCCCAGGCCTAGATTAGCACCAATCACGGCATCTCAAGGTTCACGTCTATCAATGTCCCTATTCAGAACAGCACTTAAAGCACCCACCTGAGTCCCCCTGCAAACTACAAAGGCGCCACATCTTCTTACAATATAATTAAGAAACGTGCATCTATCTATCTGTCTGTCTGTAAATCCGTTTGTTTAAAAACTCCTAAACAGTAAGAATTAGGACCACCAAATTTGGTATGCAGATTTCTCTTATTACAACTTAAAGCAAGGTCAGGGTTTGGTTGTGCCAGGACAATGGGATGTACCTGGAATTCGACTGTTTCTCATAAAATCTTCTGTATTCTCATAAAATGGAAAGGGAGGGGTTTGTCTGTCCCCCCAGGCAGGGAACATGCTGCAGCGGCTGTGGACCGGCACTTCTCATCTGGTCCCAAGCTGCTGCAGTGAGAGAGGGCTGGGTAGTCCTTTTTCCCAGGGACAGCCTGCATACTGAACCCCTCAACCCCAGTCCCACCCCAGAGCAATAATTTAAATGAAGAAAAAAAACCTTATTTGAGTTAAGGACCGGAGCAATGCTGGGTAAATCTTCCAGTGCTTAAATATTTTCCTGAACCAGGGCCTGAACAGTGCATCAACTGAGCCTGGTTCCAGACTGTGAAAATGCATCTCCCTCGCAGGATTCAAAACAGCCCTCTCTCCCCTCAAGTGTGCTAATAGTGTGATGCAAATACAAACAATGCATTCAGAAGCCTCAGTTACAACACAATGACATGGGGAAGCCGATAGCCATGAATGCGATGCTGCAAAAAGCTGTCCAGTACACCTTGCTTAGTTTTTGCTCTCAGACGGGGTGGGACTTGGGCATATGGCAGAGGAACAGTGGAAGGGAAGGGTGAAGTGAGCTCTCCCCAGAGCATTACTGTCACTGGCTGGCCATCCTTTTCAGTAATGCTAGCTGCAAAAGGCAGAATGACTTCTATAAGTGTATCTTTGGCTCCACTGAAAAACTCTTTGGGGATAGTACTTCTGGTATTCCATACAGTGGTGGGTGGAGGAGGAAAAATAGCAGATGATCCAGATAAAAGGGATTGAGGTGTTTTGATGACTCCATGTGGATTGGACTTAATTGTGGGTGGGGATTATGAAAATGAACCTGAGCACAGATGCACAAGGATAACCACCATCAGGAACATGTTACTTCAGAACCCAAAAGCTTCAGAGGGTAGCTGAGTTAGTCTGTAACAGGAAAAACTTAAAAAACAACAAATAGTCTAGTAACATCTTAAAGACTAACAAAACATGTAGATGGTATCATGAGCTCTTGTGAGGAAAACCGACTTCTTCAGAGAACCCAAGTTACCCATTGCTTCCACTTTGCTAGTTACCAGAATATGTATCTACAGCGACACCCAGTGGTGAAGAAGGTTCATTTCATTTGTATAACAGTCTTGCATACAA